GGGGGGGGGGGGGGGGGGGGGGGGGGGGGGGGGGGGGGGGGAAGGTGGAGAGGAGGGGAGAAACAGCAACTAAGGCCCGCAGAGGAGGGGAACAGCAGGCCCTGGAGCGGAAGGGACGGGTCAATCAGGCCCAGTGAACCAACGAACTACCTTCTTCCCCCACAATGTATGGTCATTATATCTGTATCTAGACTGAAAGATGCCTCAAATACAGCTATAATGACCGTACGTTGTATTCGGGGGAAGAAGGTAGGCCCCAGTGGTAAAGAAATAGCAACAACCCGAATACAACGTATGGTCATTATAGCTGTATTTGAGGCATCTTTCAGTCTACATACAGCTATAATGACCGTACATTATATTCGGGGGAAGACAAGGGGAGGCAGTCTCAGTCCTTAGCTGTGGACTGACAAGGGGAGGCAGTCTCAGTCCTTAGCTGTGGACTGACAAGGGGAGGCAGTCTCAGTCCTTAGCTGTGGACTGACAAGGGGAGGCAGTCAAAAGAAGTGATCGTAGATTTTCAATGCCCAGTCACGTACAGGTGCACTGTGCTGTTGGCCTGTGCAGGATATCTGACTAAGCCGTCGATACCATACGCTCTGCAGTGGCGACGAAGCTGCCGTCCACGGAACGGCCGCCTTTTCTAGTCTTCTACTGTCTACACAAGTAAATGTGCTCAACTTTTAGCAAGTAAGGAGTAGGTCGTTTATCGGCTAGCAGCACACCGATTCAGATGTCGGTGTGCTGCTCGTGGCTCAGTCTGGTTTGTTTTTGTTTTTTTTTTTCCACGGATTTTTATTTATTTTTTCCCCACGGAAATCATTAGTCTGGTTTTATTTATAGCAGGGGTGCTCGTATTTATTTCAGGAATTGCATCTGCTGTCGGTGTTGTCGGTGGCTTCGCTGTGATTTATAACAGGGCCGTAGACTGCTTTTGTGTGCACATGCACCCATGGTTAGACTAGTTTTCTCAGGCAGTGAATAAATGGGAGAGATCCGGAATTCATTCACGGAGGCGCGGACACTCCCAAACTCCACGATTGTTGTTGTTGTTGTTGTAGATGTCAGATTTCTTTCCTTCTCAACGACTACCGGTAGTTTCTTTTTTTTTTCTTTTTTTCTATTATTATTATTATTTTTTTTTTTATCTACCAGTAGTTTCTCTACAGTCGTTGTTGTGGTTGTAGATGTCAAATATCTGTTTTCAAACTTTTCTTCCCAATGACTGGTTTCTCAGTGTATTTGTTTTCTGAGGCAGGCAATCAATGGGAGGAATCTTCTTTGTGTTTCTACAGTGGACCAGATTTCATTAAGATGTAAGGAGCTGTTGATTTGATTTAGAGATCAATGCAATTGTTATTGTTATTTATTGTGCTTATAATGCGTAAGGCCATCAGGAGGAGATTCAGTGCAATTTATTGTTTTCCATTCTCTGGCATCTTTGTGTCCTCCTCGTGGCTGTGGCTTGTCACGGTCAGCAGGATGGTTTCTCTCCTGTAAAGAAGTTGTGACCAGACTTGCATTATTCCCCAGGGTTGTTGGGTACGAAGTTTTCTTTTCCTTTGTCCTTGTTGTTTCTGTGTGTGTGTGTGTGTGTGTGTGTGTGTGTGTGTGTGTGTGTGTGCGCGCGCGCGTGTGTTGTGTGTGTGTGTGTGTGTGTGTGTGTGTGTGTGTGTGTGTGTGTGTGTGTGTGTGTGTGTGTGTGTGTGTTATGTGGTGTGTGCCAAAGCACTTTCAAGTAATAGCATGTTTTTGTCGTACTATATGGGCTCCGACGATATATGTCGGCAGATCCTGAGTGGAGATCCAGGGCAGTAGTGTGATTTCACAACTTGACCCTCTACGTTTCCAGTGATCACTCGGGATGCTGTCCGTAAGCTTAAACACCGGAGGCAGCGATCAACTCGTGCAAACTCGACAGGGCGTGGCCAAGACGTCCAGTGTGCATAGTGGTTACTTGTAGGCGTGGGACAGATGCATCCATCTGCGGATGGTGGGAAAAAAAACATGCTGGAGCATAATTGCCTCAAATACAGCTGTGGTATGACCCAGTACGCACACAACAATACATCACAAACAAACACAGAAACGGGGGCAAAGGTACGACAACAAAGCTGTGGGCGAAGGAGGTAATGTACTGCTGGATGACAAGGCACAGCAGGGCACATAGACTGGAGGGCACACGCCACAGGGGGAAAGCAAGAAACTTGCTACAACACATAGGTTGGAGGGCACGGGGTAGGCGGGAGGGCAGACAACACACAAGCACATAAGGCAGGGAAATGACAACAACCGGTGGACAAGGCAAGGATTAAAAAAAGACAACACATAGGTTGGAGAGGCGGGAGGGCAGACAACACACCAGCACATAAGGCAGGGAAACGGCAACAACCAACGGACAAGGCAAGTACCAAAACCACAAAAATTGAAAAAAATAAAATAAAATAAAAACTGATGATGATAGATTGTTTCGTCGGAGTTGCACGGACTCAACAGGAGGCTGAACCCTCGACGATCTGCGGAATCTCCGTATTTGATGGTTTGGGTCCCTTTGACCCTTGTTGAAGGCAGACTGTCCCCAAGCGGAACATAGCAGCAGGCGGCAACCCTGTGGAGCACCAGGCAACACAGTAGAGGCAACATGGCTGCATGACGCCAAAAACGACTGCAAGGAACGACATGGCACGCAGGGCATGCAGCGCGTCAACCCTGAAGTGAAGCACAAGGCAATACAAGCAAGGCAACAGCACTGCAGGGGACGACAGGGCCTGCGGACCAGCAGCTCGGCAAGCGTGGAGCAGAGCACAAGGCACCAGCAACAAGGCAACCAACCTACAGGGCACACAAGCGGCAAACACGGAAGGCACGACCAGCAGATGAGCAGCGAAGCACAAGGCAATACCAACAACACGACCACACCACACAGCGAACACATCAACCTTCAAAGAACCACATGCAAAGCAAGCGGGACAGGCAGCAGGGCAGCGGCGGAGCAGAGACGAGGACGTCCGTCCACACATCCAACACGGAGCAAAGCAGCATATCACCTACTCACATCACGGGTGAACCCCACAGACTGTTGGTTCCCACCCCCCACTGAGCCAGGGAGACGTTCCGACGAGCATCTGTCATAACCTACAGGCAACACAGACATCCCAAACTGAGCAGCCCCCATAAGAGTGCAGTAGGCACTCCAAACGAGGAACCACCGACTGTTTGGCACTACTTAAGGGTGCTCAGTTGGGTATACAAAAATGCTTAGAAAAATTAGGAGAGAAGCGAAAAAACAAACATACCAAAAACTGATTGTGTGTGTGTGTGTGTGCTTCTCTCTCTCTCTCTCTCTCTCTCTCTCTCTCTCTCTCTCTCTCTCTCTCTCTCTCTCTCTCTCTCTCTCTCTCTCTCTCTCTCTCTCACGCGCGCGCGCGCGCTCTCTCCTGTGGCCTTTCCTTCCCACTGTAAAATTTTACAGGGATTTAGAACCATGTATGTGACAACATAGATGCAAAAATTTGGCAGTGCTGAGGCTATGGTATGAAACACGAGCACATCACACGATTGCGAAGCATTGAAGCATGGATGTGATACGCCACCGGCAAATGGCAGAATATTTTCACTGAGACACAAGTAAATCCAAGCAGTGCATCACCAAATCCAGGCAGCACGAACTGCCTCTCTCGGATTCTGCAGCCAATCGTTTAGGTCCAGGAGAGGGTCTTCATGAGGGTCAGTGAAGGTGCAACATACAGAACAGCAGCAACTGGTGTGTGCTTGGGGTATTCAAGACCGCAGCACTCGTTGTGCCGCATGCTTTGTAAAGTTGAGCGGCATCACACAGGCACAGAAAATTTGTCCACAATTGGTGCATTAACAGTAGGCCCAAGATACCATCACAGAGGGATGATACAGGCCAAGACAGCGCAATCAAGGATCCACCTGAAGATCGGGGCAAAAAAAAGTATAGAATGGAAAAAATAAAAGTGAAAAAAAAATCAGATTTCCACCGAGTCATTAGGAGGCTAAACCCTCAACAGTCTGCACAATCCCAACCAAGCAAGGATGAGGCAAGAAGGCACGGGGCCGCAAAAGCAATAGCAAAGCACACAGGTGGGAGGAAGGTAAACCTCGCTTGCTACAATCTCTCTCAGTCAAGGCATCCTATAGGCTTCTAAGACCAAGGGTGGATATATCAGCAATTCTGCAAGAACGGTGGGCACGACATTTGAATGTTGATTCACAACTTCTTAAGAATGTAAATTTTTTTAAAGTCTGTCAAGCAACGCCCTGCCAAGTTTGCATCCCTCCAGTGGCAGATTGCTCATCGCTGGCTACATACAAATGATTGGCTAGTTGACCATTCGTCACTGGAACAGCAAGGTCTGGCCACTCCTTGGTGTCCTTTTTGTTTATCAACCTTTCCCTCGAGGAAAATCTGAGAAACCATCGAACATAGTTTTTTGGCAATGTCCAGGCTCGGTTCTCTTATGGAGAAGATGGGATTGCATCTGGAGGAGTCTAACAGGGATGAACTGGCTTTGGGATTGGAAGGCAATTTTACTGGGTAGGTGAGATCCTCTTGATTGCTCTTATTCAAACTTTCAGAGTAACCTTTTTGAAATTGGTCGTAAAGCAGTAGTATAGACCATATGGTACGGACGTTGTGTCAGAGTAAGAGAAGGAGTCCGTTTAGAAGGCCTAGAGGTTGCTGAACTTGTTGTCCATTTCATACAAACAGAAATCAGGGCTCACTGGTCGACCCTTAAAACCAAATTAATGTTTTTTCACCAAAAAAAAGATATCCTGCAACATATTCAGAAATTTAATTTGGACTGGCTTGGAGAAACTGCAGGGAGGGGATTGGGYGAAGTGCGCTGGCCAGGGGCGGAAGAAACAGYGGGTCATCTTCRGAGGGATTTCCAGCTTGTTTKTSGTAACTGGTTYACGCTTCAGCCTGGAGACTCCCTCAGACCTCCTCATTGTTTTCCAGATTTCTTTCCTCCTTCGGACCTCTCCCTGGTTGATTTGCAATGGTATGGTAGGGAGGGGTAAGATGATGTTAAGATCCAATTGATGTTAGATGGGTAGGGAGCTTGGCTGACAAGTGACATCTGGCGGACCCCCTGGGTCTGAAGAGGCTTCCATATCCTTTTGATCATACACTCAATGCAATGTATTTTTGGGGGACTCTGGACCCGTTTTCCAGCAGGTGCAGCTCCCCACCAATAGAAAGGAGCCACCGTAAGGGCATGGTACCTAATGATGCTCCTATCATCTCAGGTAACAGTCCCAGCGGATGTTTTTGTGAAAAAAAAAAAAAAAAAAAAAAGGTGGTTGTGCGCCACAGGGCAAAATAGAAGGGTAGGGTCGGACGATGAGCAGCATGCGAGAACGCAACACGGCAGCAAGGGCAGCATGATGAGCAATAATCAAGCTCTTTAAAAACAAATGCAATCAATGCACAAGGCAAATGAGAGCAAGCACAACTGAGTCATCACATACAGGGTTCCACAATTGTTCTTACGTGTCTTCGAGGCCAGGCAAACCCTTTTTACTCATCCAACGACAAAGTCCACCGAATACATAACTGCTGCAAGGATAGAGCTGCAGAGCATTGTTTGGAATGAGAGGATGGAAAATGAAGTCGAAAACAAGAAGAAAAAAAAAAGGAGGATGTATGACGATCCA